CGGGCACCTTCTTCCCAATCACGTTAGCAATTACATTCACCAATTAAAATAAATAGAAATTAATTTTGTGAAACTCTAAGCCAAACGAAAATCAATCAACAAAATGAATATTAAATTAAGAGCAATGCTATATATATTATTAACCACTAGAGGACGAAATACACGAAAGGTGTTATTATTTTTTAAAAATATATATATAAAAAATTAAATATTTTTAATTGTGTAAGCTCTCCCATAATCAGATTTCTCCACCTTTTTACATGACCGTCAGCATCCCATTCATAAACTCCATGATGTGTTTAACCATTTAATTTCGTTAAACCCAAAAAACACATTCTAAAACACCAAACCAAAAAATAATATTTTCTGTCTTCTTGATTGATCCTGATTTTTGTAAGTTTTCAACGGCAAACAAACATACACTTAATCATCGATCATCGAAGATTGCAGCATTTGATACTTGCTGCGGCCACTACATGAAATGAGCATTATAACTGATACATGCATAAAGCTAGAGTGATGAATTAATATAGGCAGCAATGGCATAAATCTACATGAAATTGTAAAAATATACAGTAGGATACAAACTAGAAAGCCGAAACATAAAACAAATACACCGCTCTTAACCGCAACACTCTCAGAGCAATGGTTTAGCTTTCACTTATTGTTTAATTAAGTTGCAGTAGAAGCCTCCTCATCACTGCTGCTTCGAGACTTTATCCAAAGCGTCAAAAACGTATTGCTGAGTTACGTCTTCCACAATCACCGTCTTATCTCTAGATTTAGAACCAGTGCCTAAAGAGACTTGTCTTCGTTTCACGCCTAAAACCTGCACCGCCAGAAGAAACAATGTTTTTCGTAACAACGCCGTTTTCACATCAATTATTTTAATCGCCATAAAATACGGAACCAAAATGTTACTTACAGAACTGATGTAATCGAGAAGAGCCGCATTCGCTTCGCCGTCCCTCGCAGGTGCGTCAATTTGCACTCCCACCGCTTCGTCGCTCATATCTACTTATTAAGCAAAATAAATAAATAAATAATCACAATCGCATTAATTAACTGAGATCGAAGAAACGAGAAAGAGAAAGAGACCGGTTACGGATGCGGATTTGGAACCAGGTTTGGCGTGGATGGTTATGGCGACGGAAGAAGGAGGCATGCACCGAATACAAGACGGAAAATTATTAGGTTTTTCCGACGGCGGTGTTACCCTAGGCTCCGCCTTTGCCTTTCCCCTCTTCGCCGGCGGCATTTTTTAAAACGACGTGTTTGCGTTCAAGGTACGCCGTCGTTCTCTTCTTAATTAGTAGCGTTTTATGTTGTGCTGGAGTACCGTTTCAAGATGCACTTTGTCACACAGGATTAAAATGTTTTAATTATTAATTAATTCACCGCGTTAAAATACACAACAAGCAAACTTCGATGGTTCTACTGATGTTTGCGGTTGATTTTCAAAGTCTAGAGCGGTAACAGTATATTTGTAGTTATTAATAATAAAATTAATGACTAAAATTTATAATAAAAATATATTTTTTAAAATAAAATAAAAATTAATTATAATATCAACGTAATTTTTTATTAATAATTATTAATTTACTTTATTTTTCAAAGGATAATTGTGTTATTATAGAAGAAATAGATCGAATAATTAAACAATTAAGCAAAAGTGTAGAGAAGTTATAAATTAATAATAATTAAACTAATTAAAAATTATCAACGCTAATCGCCCTTTGGATGTTCTAAAGGGTCCATTTAGACGTTTGATAAAGATTTCGGATTAATTTAACAAGAAACTACCAGAAGATTGGAGAAACTAAATCCGATTTTCACGACGCGACACGACGCCGGCGATGGGAGCGTCCACTTCGGCGGAGCCGAGGGTTTCGGCGGAACAGCACGAGGCGGAAGCCGTCGCAGGCTCCACTGGAGCTCTTCCAATGCTTCAGAAAGCGTTCTCCAAGCTCGCCAATCCCGAGACAAACACCGTTCCCTTAGAAAATCTACAGGTACTATTCAGAATGCTCGATGATCATTTTTTCCTTTTTCATTGATGACGTGTAATCTCGGTGTTTTCAGCAATGCTTTAGTTTCGGTCCAAGTTATTCCGGAAACAGCGTGCCTGATTCGTTTCCGGTGTTGTTGGATCACCTAGGCTCGTCCCTAGTGGGTCAATTTTTCGTGCCTGACAAAGGGGGAATAAACTGGGTTGAATTTGTGAAAGGTTATAACAAGTGCTGTGCTAGGGTGTCTGCTTCGGTTTCGCTGAACATGCTTGTAAGAGTGTTCGTTGCTATCTCACAAAGTGCGAAAGTGCCTCTGCATTTGGAGTTTGAATCCGGGGATGATGATTGCAAGATTAACGGGCACCTTCTTCCCAATCACGTGTTTCTGCTTCTTTCCGTGTGTTGGGTTATGTCGTGGGGCTCTAGAAACTTGAAAGGGGAAGGGAATCTCGGTCTACCGGATCTGAATCATTTTTTATTGTCGGTGATCACATCGTGTGCTGGAGTTGACAGTGGTTTGAATGTGTGGGATTGTGATATCTCCAGCTTGGAGGTTCAGCTTCCTGCGGGCAAGTTTGTTACATGGGTTATGAGTACCGTGCCGTGCCTCCCGGATTGCTTAAGGCAGTATTTTCATGCTAGACTGCAAATGGCTGCATCTGCCGGGGTAATTTCTGTGTTTATATTCAATGGTTTCAGTCATCGTCATGATTATTTAGTTTTTTAATCACCACTTTAGGTTATGTTTTATTCATTTCTTTACTCTGAATGTGACATGATTAGTATCTGACTATCTGCCATTCTTCGTTGATTACATTCATAGTTGAAATGTGTTTTCTGACTATGCTTTGTTGCTTGTGATTTAATTTTGCCCGTCCTATTTTTTTTGTTTCTTTTGCCTTGAGTGATCCATGCTGAAATTAATTTGATCTGAAACTACTTTCGAATGTGCTTTCAAACATACAACATTCACCTCGTAATCTATGGTTGGAAGTTTTTCCACTTTTGATTGAAATTTGAAGACTGCTTCGTTTTTTTGAAAAACCTGATCGTAAGAAATTGTTTGATTTGTTGTATAGTCAACCAGCATGGCATACAGGAATTGATCAATGATATTTTCTTTAACATTCATACTGGAGTTGATCAATGTTTTGAAGTCCTGTCAACCTTAAACTTATGCTTTCTTATTTAAGCTTACCATTATAAATAACTAACTCCTCAATTCAGCCTTTTAATGTTCCACGTTTGGATTTTTTGAATTTCCAATATTTGGCTTTGCTGTAATTGAAAAGTGTTGTTTTGAGCCAACCAGAAAGGCTAATTACATACGGTTCCTACTTTTAAGGAATATTTCAGTTTTTTTACACACTTGTAAGCATTTTTCCTTACAACTGCAACCTGGGTATCTCTTCTGGTATGGCAAAAATTCCATTTACCACTTGAAGTAATTATGTCCATTTATAATCAGTTATTAGTTGATTAACTATTAATACAATGGCCTGAGGAATTATAATGACATTGTTTTACTGTCTTATTATTACTGCTGAAATTTCTTAGGGTTATAGTCTCTATTACACTTGCTATTCCTTTATCATCTGTGAGAAGAACAATATACTTTGCAAAGTATTTTTCATTTTTTATTGTTATTATTATATAGATAGATTATTGTGTCGTTGCTATTTTGTTTTTAGTTCAATAATATATTATATTTCTTATTATATTATCACCTAAAACAGTGTAGCAGTATACCACTCTCTTTTTATCTTCAGGTTCTATAGGAGAAAAATATGTTGAATATGGTTCTTAGGTGTTGTATGATTAAATAAATCTTTGACTGAATGGCAGGCTGAATTAGCATCCTCTAGTTCCTCCTCTGTTGGAGATATTTCATCAACAGCTGCATATGATTATATTTTGACCCAAGGAAGGGCATGGGCAATTTCTATTACACAGAGAAGTGCAGTAAATGAAGAGATTTCTAGAGCATTTATAAGTAGTGGAGGTGGAATGGATGATATCCTTATTTATCGGTTCGCATCCCTGACCCTGAATCATAGCTTCATCATGCTCTTGTGCTTTAATAGTCTTGAACACCTGTCAATTTTCTATTTCTTTTTTCATTTGTTAAAATGAGGGAAAAGGTATCACGGTCATTTATTATGATGTTCCCCTAATTTGTTGTCTATTGACATAGAGTATATATGTTGCACTGCAACATTAATAATTTTATTTGAGACTTGCCTGTTGGAAAAGGAAATGCCTATTGACATCGAAAGTTTACTGTGTTATAGGTCATCATCTCATGGAAGAGGACTTGGCAGATTTTGGTCTCATGTTGAAGGTTACAAAGGTCCTTTGTTAATTTTGATAGCTGCAAGTTCAGGAGATGCCCAGGAGGAAAATTCCATCAATAGGAAATGGGTTATAGGTGCCTTAACAGATAAATGTTTTGAAAATAAAGATATCTTCTATGGAAACTCTGGATATTTATATTCTATTAGCCCAGTGTTTCATGCATTTCCACCTACTGGTAGGTAGTAGAGGTGACAATGTTCCTTTTGTTCCTGTTTTCTGTCTTTTTGTGGGGCTGTGATGGAATTTTGTGAAACCCTGAAACCAATTATGTATGTTACTATTGATAGGTAAGGAAAAGAATTTTGTTTATAGCCACTTGCATCCTACTGGTAAAGTATACCAACCACGGCCAAAGCCAGTTGGAGTTGCATTTGGAGGAACTCTGGGAAATGAGAGAATATTTATAGATGAAGATTTTGCAAAAGTGACCATTCGCCATCATGCTATTGACAAAACCTACCATAGTGGATCCCTCCTTCCGGATCAGGTATAATTCAATTGCTGAAAACACTAGCAGTGTGAATATAGAACTTGTAACCGTGTACTGATTAATCCATGCATAAAAAATAGCTAATCCCGTATGTTCTCTGATGAATAGCGTTTTTTAAATTCTTTTAAAAAGACTAATTATGCAGTGAAATCTTCCATGCTGGCCTCCTGTGATATTTCCTGTCATTATATCATGATAATGCATTCAATATTTGGTTGATAAATTTTTTTGTAACATTGAGAGTTTTGGTTAAAATTATCATGGCCATTGACCAATAACAAATTGCACTTGTCTTCATCTCCAAATTTCTGAGCTGTCATTAACTTATGTTTCAGGGTTTCCTACCTGTTGATGGTCTGATTTCAGAAGTTGAAGTTTGGGGTCTTGGTGGGAAAGTAGCAAAGGAAGTGCAAAACTCTTACAAGAAGAGGGAAGAACTTTTCACTGAGCAAAGAAGAAAAGTATCCTACCTTATCCTGTTATTCGATTAGTTACAAATATTAACTTTTGATAAATGAAAGAACAGCAATTACACTTGTTATCATTCTATTTTGTAGGTTGACTTGAAGACATTTGCAAATTGGGAGGATTCACCTGAGAAAATGATGATGGACATGGTGTCTGATCCAAATGCTGTTCGAAGGGAAGACCGTTGAGTTGAAGAAAAGTTAAAAGGCATAACCGTGGACTAAATTCCACGCTTTACGTTGTTATTGGTCATTATTTTTCAGGCCTGTGATTCTCAAGTAGCTGTACAGAACACAAAAATATGTATATTAACAAACATATCGTTTAGTGCACTATATGTGGCTTGTGTATGTTTACGATATCATCCTCAAATAGTCAAATGGGATCAGGGTTCAACACCATTATGTGCATTCATTACAAGTCAAACGAGGAACATGGCTGAAAGTGTAAACCAGAAATCGTCGGGCGAGATAGGACCCTTGTGTTCAGTGTATATTAATAAGTGGAAAGCTTAGGTTATTCACCTCACCCTTCCAGCAGGTGTATTTCAAAGTTTCTAGCATCACTTTTAAACAACGTACTCGTCTACACGTTATATTATTGACATTTTTATATCTTTGCATGCAACAATTTTTCATTTTACTAGTATCGACATGTTTTGTCCATATATATAAATCTGAAGTAGCAGATGACATGTTGACATTGCGTTTGCCTGACCCAAGTACAGCGTAAAGTGTAAGCGTGTGGGCATGCAGAATACTTTAGCATTTTTTAGTATTCTCTTAAACAACTGCTAATTTACTTTAAACCTTGGCTCGGTGGCTGTTAAAGCCACAAGCAGCGTGTATTCTTAGGAACGTCATCTACCATAATTTATTTATTTTTCAAGTTTCTATTACAAACAAGCACACGACAAAGTATGACACAGTTGAGTATGAAAAGTATTGTTGGGACAGATACTAGGATGATCTCTGACTTGAAATAAATAGTCCAAGCTATTGGTTGAGGGACGTGTAAAGTAACCATAAACCAAAATTAGGCTCCGTAAACTATTTTATGTTGACTATTTTGTTTAACTTACTTAACTGTTGAATCAAAAGTTCATTGCCAAGTAATAACTTTTTATATAGTTTACAACCAAGATATAAACAGATAATGACCCAACTTTTACTTAAAATAAATTGATCTCTTTTAAGAGTTGCTTTTCAAATTAAATCGATCATTCAACCGATAAGATATTAGTTCATCCATAATTAAATTGGTATTAATAAAGTAATAATAATAATAATAATTAAATAACATAAAAAAACTAGTTAAATATAATACTGTAATTATACAATACTATAAAATTTAAAATGCCTCTATCTAAATTTAAATTTTAATAAATTATTTGCTTATAATAACAAGTTTATATTTAAAAACATCAAATTCATATATAATATAAAACTTATAATCAAACGTTGATAATCAGTTATTAGTTATCTATAATTGACTATCAAACACTTTCAAGTTGCACAATTAATTTTCTATGCTAATTTGCCGGAAAAATAAATGCAAGACCAATAATGTCTTTATATATCTTCGCTCAACCATTTACTTGATATCAAACCCATGGTCTTTCAATTGTCGCTGCCTCTCTTCCGTATTTCTTTGGTAATTCGACGATACCAAACATAGGGTTACTGTTCAAGAATTCCGTCTCTGATTCCATTCTGATACCCAAGAATGCCAAACAAAATAAATTCTATCTAATTGTTTATTGATGAAAATGCTTTATTATGCACTTTTCTCTCTATAATGGAACATTATGGGATTAAAATCTGTATCACCATAAAAGGTGTGCATAGGCGTGGATAAATCTTAAGCACATGAAAAAGGTTATTGGAACTAAGAAATAATTTTGCCAAGCAGCTGAATATACAGGGAGTGTCATGAATACACTCAGATTATCCCCACTAGTAATACAATTATCCAATGTTTAGAGAGGGGAAATCAAAGATGGGAAAGAAACAGAAATGGCATTAACTATTACTGATACTTTTGAAGATGACTGCTATGGAAAGATCGTGAACACTTCAGATCCTGGTATTGCTGTCATCTTCCCACCAATTTTCTTTGTAGAAAGCTATGCCAATAAAATTCATCAAAAGATAGGCGCTCCACTGCATTAGGGTGCAAAAACTTCAGAAATAATTAGATCTTCTCAGAAAAATGAGTGAATAGGAAAAAAAAATGTAAAATAGGATATTTGAATGACCTGGATTTAAGCACAGTAACCTTGAACAAATATCGAGACAGTCGGGATCCAATCCTGAAAGAATCAGTTGAGAAAATGGAAGACAGGTGCAGGATCTGATGTTTTTCAATACCTGAAATCAGCATTTTATATTAGCAGTGACCACAAATAGGCATAATTTAATAGTATTACAGCCTATTTGAATAAATTTCTCCAAAAGTACTTATAGGAGAGAAAAATAGAAAGAAAAATAAAAATAAGTTTTTTTATAAACTAAAATTAACTTGTGCATGAATTAAAAATAAAATTGTAAAGAAGCTAATAGGGAAAACACTTCTACAAATTAGCTGATTAAGCTAATTTTAGCTTATAGAAAAATTTATTTCATTTTTCTTTCCTATTTTTCTCCCCTACAAGTATTTCTGAAGATGCTTACCCAAACAGGTCCTTAGTAGTTCAAAGTTATGGGGCTACCTGAACATTATTTCTGCCATTAAAAGGTGGGTAACCATTTAGAAGCTCAAAAAGAATGGCCCCAACACTCCACATGTCTGCCTATATTAATTAAGTAAATTTAAGTAAAGCCAGTTAATTAATGTTGAAAGTAAGAAGAGTTGATACCTTGTAATCATATCTCTGGAACCGAAGAACTTCTGGAGCCATGTATAATGGAGAACCACAAACTGTCTCAGCGTATTCACCTGGGCGTACAGTCCTCCACATTGTATGTAAGGAAAAGAAGTTGTAAAATTAGTGAGAGTATTAAATGACAAATAAATAAATTGTCTTCCTCTCCATATTCAATCCCCTAAACCAAATACTACCTTGAGAGACCAAAATCGGCTATCTTTAGCACTGCATCACCATCATGGCTTGATAGCAAAATGTTCTGATTCAACAATACCACCAAAGCAAACAAAATTTGCTACTGATCTCAAAATGATAGTCACTACCAGTAGAAGAAGTAAATTGAACTTTCGATCACCATTTTTACTTCATAAAAGTGCCATAGAGGATGAGAATGAGGACTAAAAATGCAATTTAACTTAAAGATTATCAAATATTAATTATCTCATCATTTACTTAATATTAAGTAATGGATAATATTATAATTTTAACAATTAACAAATAAACATTTAATAATTGGACCAAAATTGTGAATTTTATAAAATTAAAGAATTTAAAATTGAGGGGCCAAAATTGCATATTGGATACTAGGATCAAAAGAGCAACCTGGCCTTCTCAATAAGAGAATGGTTTCCCAGGCAAATAGGACAAAGACGTTACAGAAACCACTCCTACCGTTTACCATTTTTCATAGATTTAAGAGGCAAGGTAGTCTTAAGTTTTGAACCACTCCTAAGTTTAAACAGTTGCTACGAACAAAAGCTCAACAGATAAGTACAAAATTTTAAAACCCTAAGCAAAAGAAAAATGTTCAAAATTTCCAACTATAATGCCCTCATCTTGTTTTATTCTAGTCAAAGACTATATAGGAACTAATAGCACTCAGTATTTACTTAGAGATGAAATTAATTGCCTCTAAAAGTCATCGTCACATAAATGCTACAATATGAAGCATTTTGTACTGAATTCAATTGTATGTCAGGAAAACATATACAATATCAATATCCTTACCTCTGGTTTCAAATCTCTGTGAATAATACCGTGAGAGTGCAATACTTTTAGACCAGAGCCTGCATCAGATACCTCAGTTTATGGTAATTGGCATCAAAGTAGTGTTTTATTTCAAACATAACAGAAAATGAAATAAAAGTTACCAAGCTGCTGCATGAATTTTCTGGCCGTTTGTTGTTGAACCCTCCCATGGGTTTGAATATAAGAAGATAGATTCCCACCAGCACAAAACTCCAGGACCAGGTACACACACCCATCATCCTAACCACGAAACAAAAACAACAAGCTTCAACTAACGCACAAGGTGGAATCCAACAACCCCAGAAAAAAGTCAAAAAATTTTCAACACATCCCATTTGAAGATGAAAATTAACAAAAAGGGTAGGAAAATAAAGGTTTGATAGACCATTTGCTAATGAACTTTTGAATCAAACATAATTATAGTTAAGTCCTTCATTTTTTTTATATTTTTATAATTTAGTCTGTGTATTTAAAAATTTATTTATCAACCTAAAACCGTGAAACTTCAGAACATAAGTGAAAGAAGAGAACCTGAAAGAAGTGAAGAAGGCGAATAATATTGGGGTGGTTAACGGAGGACAAGAAATTGATCTCGCAATCCAAAGAAGCCTTGAGGTGAGGGTTGAGTTTGGAGAGGAAGACTTGCTTCACTGCCACGTCTTCACCGCTTGGTCTCTGTTGCGCTCTCCACACTGCGGAGAATGAACCCTCTCCGATTTTCGATCTGAAAAGGTAACACTGTTTTCCCAATTCCATTCCCTTTCACTCTATCCATTTATCACGCATCTTCTTCTCTTCCCTGACCACCTTCTCTGCCTCTCCCATTTTCACACCACAAATTCTAACTCTCACACACCATTTTTAATATATTTTATTCAAACACAAGGACACAAACAAGACAAGATTTGTTTATTAAATTTATCTATATAAAAATTATTAAATTTAACTGTTCAAATAAAATAAAAATATCGAAATTACGAAAATCATTAAATTCAACTGCTCAACTAAAATAAAAACATCAACATTACGAAAATCGCGGGAATATAACAATATGGTCGGAATATGTTAAAAAAAAAAAACTTTGTATTTACGAGGTCATATTGTATGTTGACAAGCAATTGAGATTATTATTATTTTTTTTTTGGCTAAATACTTAATTTGGCCCATTATAATATTTTAAAGTTTTAATTTAATCTTATTTTAATTTTTTTTTCAATTTGTTCCTTAATAATTTAAATTATTGCAATACCAGACTTTCTGTCTAAATTTTTTTAAATAGAATTAACTGTTGGCCACGTGGATGCCACGTAGATGCATAGGTGGATGCCAAATTTCTTTAATGCATATGAAACGACTCGTTTTGAAACCAAAACGACACGTTCTGCTTACACTCATGATGTATTAATTTTACATCTAGAACGGTCCGTTCTAGATGCAAAATTAACACACAACGAGTGCATGCAGAACGGACTGTTCTGATTTCAAAACGGGTCGTTCTGGTTCCAGAACGGGTCATTCTGGTTTCAGAACGGGTCGTTCTGGTTCTAGAATGTCAAACACAAACAGTCAATGATTATAGTTCACGCCCGTGATTCTAAATCACGGTTGTGAATCGTGCATAGAAAAAAAAACCCAAGGTACAAAGCATTTTGAACACTAAATTTGGTAATATTATCAATGGAGAATTGATAACTTCAATTGCTAAACATTTGGGCTATACACCATTTCTAGACCAATTACAAGATATAGGAGTTCCTAGAAGTATTAATTATAATATTTGTTATGCAATGCAGTGTATCACTAAGGACAATGGTGGCAGGGTCTTTTTTCTTGTTAGGCAAACTGGAGTGAACCACTTACTACCAAATCGGCACTATACAGTCAAGGAAGAAACGACATGGTGTTTTCCCTTGGAGTCATTGACCGATGTACCCCAACATGTTCTTGGGGAGATACAACCTGAAGTCGAGGAAGAGGACACACAGGACTAACATTTCACCACACAACCACATGTATAAAGGTAGATAATGCTGATATATTTTGTTAGCTATTCAGTGTATGGATCGTTGATTACAAGATATGGATGAACGCCAACAACATTATAATTATATGGTGGATAGGATCTATAATTGGCACCTTCAGCATTATTCAGATTATTTCTCTCTTTAGTAATTTCTTTGAACTTTCTTAGTATATGTTATGTTATGAATTTTTGTTTTCAGTCTCTGAACCATATTTCAGTCTTTGAATTTATGTTATGTTATGAATTTTTATTTTCAATCTTTGAACCACATTGCTGCATTTTTTTGAACGTACGAATGTGGTTGGTGTTCTAGAACGGCCCGTTCTAAATCCAGAATGGTTCGTTTTGGTTCCAAAATGGGCCGTTCTGCTTGCATTTGTTTGTGTTAAATAATGCATCTGGAACGGACCGTTTCAAATGCAAAATTAACACATGACAAGTGCAAACAGAACGAACCGTTCTGATTTCAGAATGGGTCGTTCCAGATGCATTAAAGAAGGAGGAGGAGGAGGACAACAACATACGTATGGGACCTTGTCACCTATGCATTTACGGGGGATCTACATGGCCAACAGTTAACTCCGTTTAAAAAATTTGGACGGAAGGTCCGACATTGCAGTAATTTAAATTATTAGGGACCAAATTAAAACAAAAGATTAAAGTGAAACTAAATTAAAACTTTAAAATATTATAAGGGACCAAATTAAGTATTTAGTTTTTTTTTTTTTTGTACTTATAGAATGTTACTTTTTGATGGGTATCTAATTGATGTTCCAATTTGTATGCAATTGAAACGTATTCATGTATACATCATTTTAAAAAATAGATCGAGGTTTCAAAGCCAAGCCTAAAACAAATATAAATTGAGGTTCTAATTTAAGAGCTTTGAGTGAACAACTATCAATGTTTCTTAGGATTGCAGAACTATATATTCATATGAATTATAATAATAGTAATATGATTTAAATTTAAAGATATGTTCATGTTATCTCAACTTCTACCCCATATATTTTATATATGGATTGTTAATTTGGTATTGAGGGACTTGAGTTTTTTTTATTTTTTATTTTAATTATAGTGGGTAAACTAAAGAAAAAGAGTATACAATTATCTTTGTTGATATTTGTTAAATTATTTTAATTTAATATTGACTTATGTAATTTATATATTAACTTTAATATAAAGATGTTTAATGTGATATTTGTTAGATTTAAATGTATTAAAATCATGAGAGTTATTTACTATATTTAGATTTATTAAAAAAATAAATCTCTTCTCTTTCCACTTAATTGAGTGAATTTTTTACGGAAGTAGAATTTTTTGAATTTTTTTACCAAAAACGCACCTGTTACACTTTATTTACACATCTAGCACCATTCACTGTTCATATTCAGAATGTGTATTTTGAAAATGGAACGGCCGCAGAACGGGCCGTTCTAGAGTTATGCTTTAACGCATAACTTGAGAATGGCCCGTTTTGCGGCCGTTCCATTTTCAAAATACACATTCTATATGTGCAATCGGAACGGACCGTTCTGATTCTAGAACAGGACGTTCTGATTCTAAAACGAGTCGTTCCAGTTTCAAGCTCGCGCTCTCTCAGCCACAAACAAAAAAAAAAACTACTCGGAATTCGGTTCCCCGAGAACCGAATTCTGAATATGAACGGTGAATAGTGCTAGATGTGTAAATAAAGTGTAACAAGTGTGTTTTTGGTAATTTTTTTTTTAAAATTCCATTTCCGTAAAAAATTCTTTATTGAGTATAGTTTGATATTTAAGAAAAGAAGAAAAAAAAATTTGAATGATGGCACATGAAAGTTAGAGAAGAGTTTGGTTTTCACATTTAAAAAACAAGAAAAAATAATTTCTCCTGCAACCAAAGTTCTTTTCAACAGCAACACAAGAAGGACATCCATTGACTAAAATCTCTTGAGTGATTTTTTTTATAAAAGATTTAACTCCTCACAAAGTGAGAAAATTTTACTTTAAAAATAAAGTGTAATAATAGTTATTAATTAAATAATTAATGATAAATATTATAATTAATTTTAAATTTTATTATATATATATATATATATATTTAATTTTATCATAATTATTCATTGTTGATTTTTGATTAATGATTATTATTATATTATATCTTTTAAAGTGCATCCTTCTAATTAATTATTATGGTGAATCATGGGAAATTACACATAACAATTTAATATATGAGTTAATCATTTATATATTATTAGTGTAAAGTTTTTTTACACTGACAACCAATCATATATTTTATAATAGTGACATGTCAGTTGCTTATTTAATGAAATAATAATAAAATAATTAACTTTAAAAAATATGATTGAATATTAGTGTAAAAAAATTTACACTGTCAGTGTAAGGATGATTAACTCTTAATATATTAACTATTAAAAATCTAATTCCCTAGTCATGTTTGTGTATTTTATTATAGTTTTGATCGTTAATTTGTTTAATTAAAATCATAACCCATACTTTATCTTTTAAAGTACGCAGTTAGAAGTAAGAAAAAGAAAAGGAATATTCAATTTAAAAGGTAATCAGTGATAGAAGAAGATGGTTTAATCATGTGTGCACAAACTATAAGCAGGACATAAATAGTTTTCTTTGTTGTCCTTTTAACGTCAAACACACTTGACAAATTCATTGATATAACTTATTGTGCTTAGTGAAATGGATCACATATGCTATCATGGTCATAACTGATATCCCAGCCATTAACGAAGACATAATTCAATGTTGTACGTAATTAAATGTAAACCAGAGAAAGATAATAATGATTAATGAGACTATTAGTCGAAGAGGAGAATTTGCAAAATTATAGACCAGTAAATATGCAAAGCAAACTTTCAGTTGTTAAATCACGCACTTGTGAGTGGTGAATTGAATTGTAATGGAGAGGTAAAGTTGTTTAAGAGTAAACAAAATTAGAGGCATCTTAGTAAAATCTATTGGATAACATAAACCCATTCCAGTTAGCGTCCATCCCTCGCTGCATCACGTATGATTGGGTCCTTGCTTTCACGATCACGATAAATCTCGATACATTTACTTATTTTAATAATTTATGTTATATATCAAAATTTAATAATTAAATTATTAAATTTAAAAAATTAATATATAAATAAACTTTGCAAAAAATATTTAAAATTGTAAATAATTTCATATTTTAATTTATTAATTTAAATTTAAAAATTATTTGATACAATTATATATTTTTCATTTTTGTAAAATGAGCAAATTTTGAATTTGGTTCCTATAACTTTAATTATTAAATGAACTAAATTAAAATTTACTCATTTTACAAAAATAAAAAATATTTTAAAAGGAAAAAATGAAATTTAATATATATATATATATATATATATATATATGGATAGATAGAGAATTGTGAATATATAGTTCTAAGTACTCTAATTTCTTTTGTTAATGATGAATGAGTGTAATGATTTATATAGGTCGTTACAAAAATACTTTCAATTAATATTTATAATCAATTCATCAACAAATCTTGTATATGTTAAAATAATAGTTGGTTAATGAAAATGATTCTACTCAAAAATAAATTAATCTTTAATCATCAATTCTTAATATTGTGGTGTAACCATGTGTGAAGTCCCACATCGGTTAGGAAGGAGAACGAAGCATGCCATATATATGGGTGTGGATACCTTCTTTGTGTGGACGCGTTTTGGGGTGGCATGCGTGTCATTGCCAGAAGCAAAACCGTGAGGGCTGCGGCCAAAGCGGACAATATCCACATGCGGGTTGCTGGGGTGTTACATTTGGTATCAGAGCCTGGACCCGGGCCGGTGTGCCAGCGAGGGCGCTGGACTCCCTTGAGGGATATATATGGGTGTGGATACCTTCCTTATTGCTGGGGTGTTACACCATGTACATAAAAAATAAAATCAACAAAATATAAAAATTATTTTAGGAAAATATAATATTACTTTTAAAATATATAATTTTGGTGTTTAAGTTCTACAAAGCTAGCTAAATATAATTTTCATCCTTGAAAAAAAAATTTATTAATTATGATTTTCAAAACTTTTAAAAATAATTTATCGTTATTTAATAACGATATAATATGTATTTAACTATATATGTCACGTTAATAATTATTCTCAAGTACTATATAATATGATTTGGAATGATGTATATCATTTAAAAAAGATTAAAATGTATTTCACATTATTTATCAATTGTATAAGAATCATTTAAAAGATTAAAATTTACAAAATGAAAATAAATGTATTTAAAATACTAAAATATATTTGATCATGTGTAAATTCTTACCTCTAAACATCATTATCCTGATCCTAAAATTCTTAATCCTAATTGATGAGAAAGCACGTGCTTGGTATTTATTAATTATGTACATAATAGAAGATGAAGTGAAAAGAAATAATTTAAGGTCATTTCTAATGTGATTGCTTATAAGTAATCCTACTTGCTATATTAGCTTCATTTTTTTTCTTCTTCTTAAGAACTAGTACTTATATAAGTAATTTTGATAAATTTTAAGTAACTCACTTATTCTTTTTTAGACAAGTAAGGTTGTTTATAGTAATTATATTAGAGGTGCTCTACTGAGTTATGTAAGCAGATATTGTTTTGGTGTTGAAGTGACATCTCCTCCTCTTGGCCTTATCTTATTCTTAATCTGGTCCACATCGTAGTGAGATCCAACCCACTCAGATATTCATATGTATGTTTAGTTAAGTGGTACTTCGATTACAGCAAGAGCCAAAATGCAAAAGCATATACCCCTATCATCTCATTCAACTTCTACTTTTCTCTTCCTCTACCTCTAGTTAGATTACTCATTTCATGTATAAAACAATGCTCATTTTTCATTTATTTTGTTTATTCTACCACGAATATTTTTAATTTATTAAAATAGAATTTAATTTCACTCGTAATATTGAAATTATCATTATTTTAAAAAGATTTAATATATAACAAATATTAAACACAAAATTTTATGTTACATAAATCATCCTCACAATGCAAATATTAAAGTTGAATGACATTTTTATTTTATATTATAAGAATGATTTTATGACCCCTAAAATTTATAAATAAAAAATATATATTATAAATTGAAAGATAAAATTATCATGTTAATTCACATTTTTATCCATGTATGATTTTTCATTTACAATCACCCACCAACGATACCCTTACTAATTGCTATAAAATTGTTAATCAAACCGAAGGAAATGAGAGAACCAAAAAGTACCCTTTCCTAAAAATGAAAATTGTAATTCAGTCTTCAACTTAAATTATATAATGATTTAATCTTAACTTTATTTCATGTTAGTCATATTTTTTATTATCTAAGTTCAAATATAACACCCGGTTAATAATTTGAGAATTAAATTGTACAGATAAATATTAAATTAGGACTGTTAAAAAATTGACTGTTTGTTTTTTAGTTTTTAGATAATATATTATGTGACTAACTTCCGTACAAATAATGACTAGAGAATCTAGATTCTAGAGTCATATTTTAATCCAAAGCAAGGTACCCAAAAGCTAAAATAAGAAAAAAAAAAGTGGAAGAAAGTAGCAGGTCCCTGGACATGTCTCCGCGTACCTTTCTCCATGAATTTTATAATATCTTATCCTTAACGCAATTACTTTCCACCTTTAATTAGTGGTTTTCTAGCCAAAAAAGTTTAGTTTGAGACAAACAAAATCAGATTGAGATCAAATTTGGCTTATACATTTGCCCAATTAATTGATCAATTTATATCGTTAAGGAAATTGCTTTTATTAGGAACCACAACCAGGGAAGTCCAAGAGATTGTGATCTAACCACTTGCACACGATGTAAAGATTGTAAAACAATTTCTTTTGGCAACGGAAAAACTTACGGGACCAATTTGGATATAAACATCTTATGATACGATAGATACAGACAGATCACTAAGAAATTGCAAACATAGTATTATGTGCAAATACAAAAAATCATACACACAAAGGTTGGACTTAGACTGGTATTTGATTTTTTATACACACAACTAGGTTATCAAGCTTGAACTACGAGTATGTTGCCAGCTAATGAATCACTAACAAGTGTAGAATGGAATGTGCAAAATACTATAGAATTATTTCCATCATTTTGATTAAAGTTGATATGGGATCAAATTACACAACAAAGAATTTCCTTTTCTACGTCCTTCTCTTTCATTTTGCCTTTGTCATGTCGAAGCAGGGAATAATCACATGACTATACGAAGATGATGTTCAAGTTTAGAACCTCCATTTGGGGCATTGATGCAAGAGTGCTTCAAGGTTTCATTTGAGGCTCATCCAAAAAGAAGGTGCAAAGAAAAAAGTCTTTCCTGTGGGCAAGTACGGATAAAAATAAAAACCAATTGGCTCAACCTTTTATTTTGGGGCCCGAAAGATGGGACATAAATGCACATTTGGACCTCATCCTTTTATATGGGACCCAAAAGATGGGGACATAAATGAACTTGGAATCAAAATCTTATTTTTCAATTTCGAACTTATCTCCATCAGGAAGCTTCCCAATTCCTTCATGTGCTCATGGGTCCCTTGGGGAACACCATTATATAGTATATGAAAGAATAAAAAAGACTCATCGTGGGATTATTTTTTAAATAAACAAAGATATACATACACACTCATCCATGCTTAGTTAAATTTAATAAAGGTGAACCATCCTTAGTTAATGGGCAAAATTTCAGAAAAACCTTGTGTAATACTATGAAACTAAACTGCCACGTGGCAAATCCTGCTGCGTGTAAGGTGGGATTGAGTGGGCCCATCCCGTTAGGAAAACCAATCACAAAAGGTTCTTATAGTCAGTGGAGGATCCTTGTGCTAAGACATCTATCTACAACAGGCAACAACAGCAATAACTAATCAAAGACAAAGATAAAAATCTTCGATATCTCACCACAACCCTATGAATATTCTAATTACCATCTAACTATTCTCCTCGCCTACACCCACTTTATAATCCTCTTTATTATTAAAAATAGTAAATTTTACTTTTTATCTAATGATTTTTTTTTATAAATTTAGTAAAAAAATCAACTAAAATTTATAATTTTAACCAATAATTAATATAGAGATTTTTTTTAGATCTATAATTACGATTACATAAACAAAATTCAAAATTCAAAATTATATATACTCTAGTCCCACGTGGCAAACTTAATGGTTTGACAATATATAATATTTAAAAGAAATTAAACATTTATAATATTTTGGCATGTCCAATCAAAACAAGACAGAATTCCAAGCATGTGAACTTGCCAATATATAACCCCTTAACCAACCCCCAAGAAGTTCTACTAACTCATCAACACAACATCACAAACCAAAATGAATTCTATTGCTGCTACTTCCTTCACTTCACCACTTGTCCATGAGTTCCAGCACTCAAGAAGGTTACTCCTCCACTCCCCACTTAACCAATCAGCAAAGCCCCCAACAAGCAGCCACGATTCAACAACAGAGACATATCTGGGAGACGGGAACTTCGATGCAAACGTTGTGATGGTCCTCTCGGTTCTCCTCTGTGCCCTAATATGCTCACTGGGTCTCAACTCCATCATAAGGTGTGCCCTAAGGTGTTCCAACTTCGTGGTGAGTGACTCAATGATATCATCAAGCAACAACAGCCCTCCCGCGAGAGTGGCCAACACTGGAGTGAAGAAAAAGGCCCTCAAGACTTTCCCCACAGTGAGTTACTCAACCGAGCTGAACCTGCCGAGTTTGGACTCCGAGTGTGTGATATGCTTGTCCGAGTTCACAAGCGGTGAAAAGGTTCGCATTTTGCCCAAGTGCAACCACGGCTTCCACGTTCGCTGCATTGACAAATGGCTAAGCTCACACTCCTCGTGCCCCAAATGCAGACAGTGCCTAATTGAGACTTGTCACAAGATTGTAGGGTGCAGTACTCAGCAAGCTAGCTCATCACAACAACAACAACAACCCGTGCCAGAAACCATTGTAACCATTGCGCCATTAGAGCCAGAAAGTATGGTGCGTAACTATAGGGAACTTAGCTAATTCACACTACTATTTACTTTAGTCCTTATCTGTTATTAATGACATAATGGTTGCAGTGGAGTGGAATCAATGGTCAGCTATAACTGGTTAAGACTAGTCACCCGACCACCACTCTCAACCATAGTTAATGTAGTGGTTAATCATCGATGTATATAGCGTGGAATCTTCTTTTCTTGTTTCAATTTTACCCCCTTCCCCTCTTAAATGTACAAAACTAGTTCAAATTGTAATTACATTCTTTTCGTTAAATGTCCCAAGTTCTTACTCTAACACGGTATTTACCATTTACCAGCACCTATAAGGATTAAACATTCACTTGCTTAGTTGTTTGCATTTTTTATGTTTTAGCTCTTTGTGACAGTTTGTCACTGCTGAAAAGATTTTACAGCAGTTTTATTCTGTCAAAAAGGTTTTTCTGTTGTTAAAGCAAAACATTACTTTTATGTATCCATAGACACTGAAATTTACAGTTTATCGTATTATAGCCAAAACTTAAGATAAAGACCGCTAAAAAATTTGATAAATAATTTTCACTAAATTTAATTTGATTGAATGGCTCGAGAAGTCAGGCTTGATTAATTTAAGCAACTAAATTAAGGTGCTGAGCAGGCAAGCACTATAGTAATTCCATGCCTTTTAAGGAAATTAAGTGTATTATTGCTTGGCATTATGATCAATTGAATAATATTATTTTTTCTAATTTTATTAAAAATAAAAAAAAATCTCTAAATAAATGAATGCAAATACATGTTATATGTGTTATTTTTTTCCTCGTATGATGTGCCACTATATAAGTGTGTTACTTTTTCCTTGTACCATGTATAATTCTAACCACATGTATTTGGAACCGCTCTTCTCTTACATTACATATGATGATTCTGTTGAAAAGACACAATTTTAACTAGTGTATTTACAACAAATCATGTTAGATTCTTGTTGCATAATGTCTTTTCCGAACAAGACCATATCCTATTTTTTAAAATTAGCAGAGGCTCTAAATCCATTTAAAATTCGCTTTGCCAATGGAGTCATTCCTCATAATTAAATAGTGATTAACTTCCTGTAAGAGATACGATATTTTTTATTATGTTTGACCTTAGCTTCAAGGGCCATTATTTATTTAAGCTTAACGTTAATATGAAATTGTGTGTTCCGACATCAGAAACATGATCCAGTTAAATAAGTAATTTGAAGGCAATTAATTTCTTGAAATCAAGGTCATGCAAGACCACAAAGTTGCGGGATAAATATTTCAAAATTTCAATACCATACAACTCAAACACAAGGAAAAAAAAATTGAATTGGTGATATGGTTGCTATAAATTATCAAGTTCCATATGAATAATGTATCCCTATTGGCTCTTGATTGCTAACTAGCACCAAGAAAACAAATTATAAAAAAAAAAAAAAAAATCAAAGTGGTGTACTTTATCCAGTCAATGGAGCACATAATGAATGGAGGCTGAGGCTGAAACCACTAATCTAATCAACTAACAAATCAAATTAGTGTACTAAAAGTGAGACGTTGTAGCATAGTAGCTGACAAAGTGTTTCATTTCATTGCTAACACTGACTAACCACACTATCCCCGGACGGTTGAAATTTGATTTGCTATAAAGCTCAACGCATTATATAAATATATACTACGTTTGCAACAGCATATGGTAAATGTGTGTGCCTATAGGACACTGATAGGTGAAGCATAGCATTATCGTTAAAGCAAATTGTGAGGATATTATAGTACCAACCGCAAGAGAGCAATTCGGAGGGAAAGCAAACCAGGAAAGTTAGACAGCAATATAAATTAAATACATATGCATAATAAAAGAGAGATGTGAAAAGCAAAATTAAATTGATCACCTATAATTCGTGGCCTGATTGATTTCTTTTATCACAACATCCTAACCTTTCTCAGTTAACACCGGGAGAAAAAGGCTAGCTAAGTACAAGGTAATCCAAGAAAAAAAAAATTAAAAAGCAAATAAGCACCCATATAAAAAAAAATGGCTTCAACTTCTGAGGGTAAAATGAAGCATGATTCCTCTTCATTGAGGTTATCCTAGGTGAGATAGGGTGAAGTAATGGCGGCAGAATCTAGCTTATGATTGAGCCTTTTATGAATGAATTGAAGTATAGTGGAATAAAAACTTCATATTACATTCCCTTTCACCTTTTTTTTTTCTTTCACTTTTTACATGTGAAAATCATAATCGATCAGTTAATTAATGACAGAATCCACACACCGGGTTAAGATATCATATAGCATAGGTAAGCATGTATAAACTATAATTATTAGAAGAAAAAAAAAAGACCTAGGAAAGCATATGTATTGTGGATATAAGAATTATCATGGCTGATGCTGGCCTATTGTACCTTGTAGCACGAGAAAAAAAGCTATCCTATTCCTATATAATACAAAGAATAGGGAAAACTGATTATTCAGTGAAAAAGTAAATTAAATACAGAGTAAAATACAATGCATAACTAGACATGAAAAAGGAAAAAGGATGGGGATCTATAATCTCTGCCATAGGTTACGCATGATACCGGTAATGTAGTCATATTATTGATGCAGTGACGTTTTCAGTAACCGATCATCTTATAGGTTTCACATCTTTCTCTGGAACTTCTCTGCACTATTCCAACATATATAGGCTCATATGATATACGGTGACCATACATATAGTTTAGATAAGAAAAGCTAAATTGTACGACATATGTGCATAATCTTGCAGTTGTAATCAAATATTAGTCAGACTATTTTCCGTAAGATGTGAATTCGATTATTAACTTAAGACACATGGTTGTGATAGGAAATACATTTTATCTTTATAGAAACTGATCTAGCAAGTAGAAATTATAAATCTTAATTGAACCAAAAAAGTAAAAGGGAACCTTGAGGTTTTTGGATATTCTTTCGTGAATATAAACACATTTGCTAATTCACATATATATGGTGACTTTTATTGGGCACATATTTCCATAATCATAAGATATTATTCACTTTGAACATAAGTCTTTGTAGTTTTATTTTTTGTCATCACTTAAAAGGCATTTTATCGATAGAGATAATATGGATTTTGTTCGTACACCTAACCAACTTTTCTTCAAGTAAAGGATCATGATTTAACCTCTCATTCAACGAAAATCTTTTTTTTTTCATTTACAAGTATTCAATAGTAGTCTTTAGAGTTTTAGTCACACCTACCAACTCTAGATAATGCATCGTTGTTATCTCACATCATTGGAACATTTTCACACTGTCAAGAAGGCCTTTGACACAAGAGATCTCACACTTGAATCTACTATCTTCTATTGTCAAATACGCGTTTGAGACTTTGAGTTGTCACCTAGTCGAAATCATCAATTTTGATATTACTAGCTATTAGCATTAGAGGGTTTCCACACATATGTTTCCACAATGATAAGATATTGTTTACTTTAGTATACATCTCTATATTTTTTTTTTTTATCATTACTCAAAAAACTTCCTACAAATAAAGATTATGTGTGCATTATAAATCTTTCTTTCTCTTCATGATTCAATGATATAGAACTTTATTTATACTTCATCATCTTTCCCCCTTTAATATGTCACGTGATTGTTTCCCTTTGTTTTATAGTGTGTTTGTATTGTATGTTATTTCTTGCATAGGTGCTTTTTTTCCTTTTTGCAAAAATATTTTGTGACCCAAATCTTTCATAAAAAGTGGTGTGATATGTGAGGACCGAAGAAATAAGGCTTGGAGCAACCAAGTATGATATTAAGATATTCTCGGGATCTAATGATTTTGGTCCATGGTGATCAAGATGCAAACAATCTTGGTACAATAAGGACTCGGTCACAGAGATATGCTTTGAATGGAGAATCTGCATTACCTACAAGTTAATTAGAAAAGAAAGGGAAAAAAATGATGTAGCGTATAATAGAGAAAAATCACTAATAACAAATGATGTAGTGGACAAACATGTAGGTGACTGTTTAACACTAACATTAGGTACAAGTTTACAACCGCAGTTAAATCTTGGAGAAAATGAGTATGCTTATACCCAACAAATGACAGATAAATGTTATTTATATCTTATGCCAATGATCTCTCTTCACTTAACAAGTACGCTACCATTAAGCGTCTAGTTATACTTATACCGAAGCCTGCATTAATAATTAAATCTTTGCTTGGAATTCACCTTTTTGTTTTACCTCCAAACAAGTAACGATTATTATATTGATTGATTATGTTCACATTAGAAAATGCATGATTATGTATATGTAAACTCATTATTAAAACTGTTAACCAAGATTCTTTTCCTTTTTAAAACTGAATAATATTATCAATAACTAAGTTTTTCATTTTCTAGTGCTTGTCATTGATTATCTCTCTATATCGTTTACAACTTTGATAATACTCCTTCCGCTCTAAAACTTTGATTTTCTTTTTTTCTTTTACACAAAAATTTAAAAATATTTAATTTATGCATATTTGAATTAAATTATATCCTTATAACTTTATTTATTAATTTATAAATTTCTACAAGATTTCTAATTACTTCATGTATATTTCTGCAAAACATAATGCTCCACTCAAAATAATCTAATTAATGTTTAAATTAGTCTTAATTACTCAACTATACATAAGGATATAATTGAGAAAAACTATATAAAATGTTTTGAAATCTTAAAAGAATCAAAGTTTTAAAACTAAACTAAAAACTCAGAAGAACCAAAATTTTAGAGTGGAGGAAGTAATATTTTCTTGTATGGTATAAAATGAATATCAAATAAAAAAATTTCATTGTAAATATAAATTTTGTTTTACTTTATGTATCATGAATATCATCCTTGAAAAAAAAAAAAATTAATTGTGGGACAACGTAAACTAAATTGTGATGAGGCTCATAATGATGACATTTCATCTTGTGGAGGAGTTTTAAGGAATAATAGTTCAGGGAAACATGGTTGTTCTATTCTAGCAAGAGTGCATGTCTTCCATAGTCCTCTTCATTGATTACACTTACCTTTATTGACTAATGTTTCCGTCGTTTCTTTCTTTAAAAGTTTTTAATTTGGGCGTTTATCCTCTAGTGTACCAAAATTTGCCTCTCAAATTAATTAATTTAACATTTTTAATATGTTTTTATTATTATATATTTCTATAAAATCTTGTTATTACATATAATTACTTTTACATGACATATGTAAAATTACAATGATTAATTAAGAGCAGCATTTTTGGATAAATTAAGAAATATGTTTAGTTAGTATTTAATATTTTAAAAGCATTCGAGGAAGAAAC